TGCAAGAGGGGGGAAAAAGCCACTACAGAACTGGAAGCAGACCAACAATCAGTCCGTCGAAACAGCAAATTTAGTATCCGCGCAGCTGAAAACGCAGCCTCCATTTGCATGACAAACGGGACGTTTGTGCAAGGGGTGCGAGGGCCGGCCGGGGCTGCAGGCGGGACACGAGCTGGGAGGGCCGTCACTGTGCACAGTGCACAGCAGTCAGGGTAAAAACCTTGTTGGGCAACATTCAAGTAGAAGCAGCAGCAAGACTTTTAGCCGTGTCAGAACAGAAGGAGAGGCAGCTCAAACCTCATCACATTCTCTTCTTCAGTCACACTTCTGTCAACGTTAGTTTTTCTTAACACAATTTGACTGACCAACGTTTAAGAACACGAGTCGTTTCTCTTGGGGAGATGAAACATTTGAATATTTACCTCCCCTAATCATTTGAATCCAGTCTAGAATGCATATGTGAGCAATTTCTGAGCCCCTCCCAGGCAATAATTACAGCTGAAATTACCTCCTGTTTTCCTGTGAAGCTGCCGCTTTCGCTGTAATTTAAATCCCATCCGGAGCCACGTCCTTACATTTCACAGTAAATCTTTCAGTGTTTAGAGAGAGGGGAGATATTTGCTGTGGTAATGTGGGCTCCAGGTAGGCCTTAATGTTCTCTTCAAGTCTCATTTTAGGCCTGTATTTGTTATTCATTAAAAGCATAGAGGAACATACATTGCATATGAGTGTAGTTCACATATTACTAATGGAAACTAAAGAGAAATGGTTACATAGTTACCTTGATGATACACATCAGTATGTACCAATGAATAACACTGACTCTGGTTCACTTCTGGGGTTCCACAAGGTTCAGCACTGGGCCCTTTTAACTCTTCATATTGTACACAGATGGTATGTGTTAAAATTCACTTTATTTTCTGCTGACACTAACTTATGTTGCTCTGGTAAAAGGTCTGGAACAGCTGCGGAATAAAGTGGAAAGGGAACTGAAAGTTTTAAAGAAACAGTGTGGCATTACTAAAATGTATCAACCCAACACATGGAATAGGGCTGTGCCATATCAAACCATGCACAATAATACTGGTATAATATTTAGCTTGAGTTGAACTCGTATGACAGGAAGAACAAGCTGTGGATGGAAACTACTGAACACCTGAAGTTATATGGGAGGTCAAAAAGCAACTGGTTAAAAAACTCGGCCCAAGATACAACATCTCAGGTGGAAAGTATAAAAAAATTTCAATTTTATTATCTGGCAATACTGTGCAGCTCCAGAGTTACTTTAGCAAGCAGTTGCTTTCTACTTTTACTTAAAATGTCCAGAGAAAACACTACCCAGGGTAGGGCTGTGCGATATGACCAAAATCTCATATCATGATATAAAACATCCCGATAACGATATAAATCACAAAGATTTAACATTTTCTGTAAATTCTGTGAATCTCGGGCAGCTCGACTTGTGTGAAGTGTTTCCAGCTGTGCGTCGTGTACCTGGAGTCGAGTGTTTTAACCGATGCATTAAATGATGCATTTTTAGACATAAGTTGTAACGGCCGCCGTTTTCTTTGTGAGTATTTATTACACGGCGTGTTGCGGGGAAAAGCCTGTTCCAACGATTGAGTCTAAGGTTTACTTTTTAGCACCTGACGGCTCTTTTTTGCTTCTTATCCGTAAATACTCTGCATCTTTCACGTGATTCAGGTTTTTTTAAGTCTCAACAGGATCTTGAGCTTTATTGTGAAAGGTTTATGTGGAAAATAAACAAGCGGACACGCGATGGTTTTACCGTCGTTGTTGCTAACAACAACGCATAAAAACAGGCGCTTGTCCGTCTGTAGTGTGGTTATATTAAATATAAGAGAAAGAGAGAACTTTAAGAAATTAATATAGCCACTACAGTGACCATCAAAACGATGAAAAAAATATCGCCATAAACTGTTTATTTTGTGACACCACGAAACAAACGATAGCGTAAAATGAAACGATAGATGTTTTTATATCTTTATTCAATATATATCGTTATATCGAACAGCCCTAACCCAGGGTACTTTGCTCTACTTTTTCTGCTGCTGGCACATTGGGTAGTTTATCATACTGATGTGTCTGCTGTGACGACCCCTAAAAAAAAAAAAAAAAGGGAGCAGCTGAAAGTTGCTTTATCATCAATGACAGTCGCTGGTTGAAACTTCCCTTTAACCTAGTTTGCACTAATAACTGTTGGTTCCTGTGCGCTTCAGTTACCTCTATATCGTCATAAATGGCATTACTACAAATTTTCTTGAAATATCACAACATAAATTATGAGGCTATTGATAGCAAGTAATATGGAATGTAATGTAACCAATAAACGCAACATTGTGATGAATAATGATGAAATATAGTTCATGAAAATAGACTTTTTGGGTGTGATAACCAACCATAAATTATGTTGCAAAGCGTACACATTTACTTCATAGATATTTTTCAATGATTTCTTGCATGCGTGCATATGCACTCCTGCAACAAACAGAATATAAACCCACGAGAAAACGCTGGATTCTCCTGTTTACATAGCAGGTCAGAAAATTTAATAAGCACCTCTGAACTCTATTCAGTTCTGTATTTGAGCAGTATTTTGTCTGTTCGAGTCAAAATATTTGTTGGCTCCAACATCTCTGGTATGAGAATTTCACTAGAAATCAGAGCCGTAACAATTATGAAAACCCAAAGATAACCAGCGTACTGTGATGTGCGACAAAGTAAATTATAAAAATTTTTTTTTTCAAAGGTCTACATAATTGCTATAGTTGACTTATTACTGCTCTATATTACCCTAGTGTACAAAGCTGCAATAAACAAAATGTGTTCTAGGTAAAAGGCCTTTAGGAGTCCTTTTATTTCATATTACAATGTATTTTTTCTCATCCTGATGTATTCATGTCTGAACAGATTTTTACCATAGTAGTTGGTGGAGCTATTTTTAACTCTTTTATACACAGCTCTGTAATTTCATCGGTCTATAAAAGATCACATTTTGCAATCTGTTTTTTAATCTAATCACATATGTGACACAGCATGTAAAAAGCCAAGAAGAAAATGAAGAAGAAAGAGCCGCACTTTCCAACATTTCCAAAATCTGTTTTCTTAACTT